TCCATCCAGGTCCCTCTGGACAACACAGAAGATCTGAGGACCACCACCCAGGTCTCCACCCAAGTCACCAGGTCTCTACCCAAGGTGGGTTCTCCGATGGGTCATAAAATTCGAAGAACGGATAAAACTCTTCCCGCAGTCGGGGCACTCGTAGGGTTTCCCTTCCCGATGGGTCCTTTGATGTTTCATCAAGGCGGAACTCACGGTGAAATTCCGACCGCACTGGGGACACCCGTAGGGTTTCTCCCCGCTGTGAATCCGTTGGTGGATCATCAGGTTGGAGCTTCGGTTGAAACTCTTCCCGCAATCGCGACAACGGTAAGGTCTCTCCCCGGTGTGAGTCCGTTGATGCCTGATGAGATCCGAACTATTCCGAAACCATTTCTCGCAATCGACGCACCGATAAGGTTTTTCGCCGGTATGAACCCGTTGGTGGATAACAAGGCTGGAGCTTTGGCTGAAGGTCTTCTCGCACTCCTCACATTTGTAGGGTCGCTCCCCGGTGTGAATCTTCTGGTGGCGGATGAGGTAGGAACTGACGCTGAAGCTTTTCCCGCACTCGGGACATTTATAGGGTCTTTCTCCCGTGTGGGTCCGTTGGTGGGACGTCAGGTTGGAGCTTTGGTTGAAACCTTTCCCGCACTCGAAGCATTTGTAGGGTTTCTCGCCGGTGTGGAGACGGTGGTGGGTGACGAGCGTGGAACTGTCGCTGAAGCTTTTCCCGCAAGCGGGACATTTGTAGGGTTTCTCGCCGGTATGGAGCCGGTGGTGGGTGATGAGGTGGGAACTTCGGCTGAAGTTCTTCCCGCACTCCAAGCACTTGTAGGGCTTCTCGCCGGCGTGTAACCGTTGGTGGACTACCAGGTTCGAGTTCCGGCTGAAGCTCTGACCGCATTCCTCGCAGATGCTCGGGCGTTCCTCCTCCGAGCTTCTCGGGGTGGATTTGCAACCTCTTCCCTTGGAGCATCTTCTTGGGTTTTCCTCTTGGTTGACCTCCTGCTCCATGGAGTATCTTGGCTTTTTGATGACCTCCTGCTCTGTGGAGCATCTTCTTGTGTCCTCCTGTCCCATGGAGCATCTTCTTGGCTCTTCCTCTTCATTGACCTGCTCCTTGGAGCATCTTCTTGGATTTTCCTCTTGGTTGACTTGGCTCATGGAGCATCTTCTGGGCTTTTTGATGACCTCCTGCTCCTTGGAGCATCTTCTTGGACTTTCCTCTTGGTTGACTTGGCTCATGGAGCATCTTCTTGGCTTTTCCTCTTGGTTGACTTGGCTCATGGAGCATCTTCTGGGCTTTTTGATGACCTCCTGCTCCTTGGAGCATCTTCTTGGACTTTCCTCTTGGTTGACCTGTCTCATGGAGCATCTTCTTGGCTTTTCTTCTTCATTGACCTCTTGTCCAGTGGAGAATCTTGGCTTTTGGTTGACCTCCTGCCCCATGGAGCATCTTCTTGGCTTTTTGATGACCTCCTGCTCCTTGGAGCATCTTCTTGTGTTCTCCTGTCCCATGGAACATCTTCTTGGCTTTTCCTCTTCGTTGACCTGCCCCATGGAGCATCTTCTTGGTTTCTCCTTCCCGTTGACCTCCTGCTCCTTGGACCTTTTCAAAACAACCTCTTCCACTAAATTCTGCCGGTGGAGTTTCTCCTCCATCTTCTCCATCCTCATCTCATCACCTGCGGGAGGAAGGAGAGGAAGAGGATTTACACCCACGCCAGAGGGAAGGAGAACCTCCCAGATCCACCTCCAGGAGACACCAGTGATGCTCAGCTGGAGAAGAAAGGATGAAGGTTGGGGTCCAGTGCCTCCAGGCTTGGCCCTCTTGGGGGTCCTGGGGGGTCCCCCAGCTCGCCCATGGCCACTTTTGGGGGTCATGGGGGTCCCCCAGCTCCAGAATCCCCCCCCTCTGGGTTCCTGGGGGTCCCCCACCTCCCCCACGGCCACTTTTGGGGGTCCCGGGTGGTCCCCCAACTCCAAAATCGCCACTTTTGGGGGTCCCCCCACTCTGTACTCCCCCATCCTGGGGGTCCCCAGTTCTGGGGTCCCCCCCCTCTGGGTTCCCCCACCTCCCCCACGGCCACTTTTGG